AGTCAAGCCTCATGACTCTGATCACTGATTTTTGGAGACCATAAAACAATTCAAGTTGCAGTCATAATCAGAGAAATAATTTTTCTGAGTCAGAAGAATTTTTATTTTTCACTTTTTATTAAAAAAATTTAAACTCACATGGAAATTGTAAAAATAGTACAAAGGGTAGTCCCCAAACTACCCCTGAGTTAATGTCTTTCAAAACTTTAATATGGCCATGGAAACTAGGAATTTGACCCTACTAATACATTATTTACTGAAAAAGACCTCATTAAAATTTTATCAATTTTTAATATGTACTTTTTTGGCATATAGTTCTATGGAATTTGTCATGTACAAAGACTCATATTACTACTGTCAGTAAAATCAGGATACAGCTCCATCTTATCCTTCCTCCACATTTTGAGACTGTTAAGTGGAATCACATGATGTATAATCTTTTATATTAACTTTTTTTTTCCCCCACTCAACATGAAGCCCTTGAGATCCATCCAAATTATACTCAGTAGTTTGTTCTTTTTAGGGCTGAATAGTGTTCCATAGATACACCATAATCTAAGCATTCACCCATTGGCAAGACTGGGCACATTCAAGGTGGTATGGCTGGAGACAGGATTCACTCATTGAAAGACAATGGTTTCTTTACAACGTTGGACTATGCAATCTGCTATTTTATATATAGTTTATTTTGTTTTTAAGACTAGTATTAGGAATAATCAAAGTATGTTACATGCATGTTCAAATATACCAAAATGAAACCCACTATTTTATAAAACTAATATGCATAATAAATAAATTTTTAAAAAGTTCAATATTAGCTTCAATAGCTACATAGATATAAAAATACAATAATATAAATATAATAATATATTTTACACACACACACACACACACACACACACACACACACACATACACATAGTCTGGTCCAAAATTCTTTACAGAAAAAAAAAAGCCATTCAAAATATCAGAAGCAAAAAAAAAAAAAGCAGTGACAAGATTTGAAACTTTAGTCATAGTTGCTGGCAGCTGAATTAGAAAGTCAGGAGTTAAGGATGATGAGGAGCCAACGATTACTCCCAGATCTTACAGGAAGGATAGGAGGAAAGCTTTTCACATTAGCAAGGAGACAAACAAAAGTCTAGTCACAGAGCCATAGAAACGGGTCCCGAACCACCTAAAAGCACTCATCACCAAAGGGCAAAAGCCGACTTAATTCTACACATTTCCCAAGAATTTTTTTCTTGCTTGGCAAGATTACTTTCTATGCTTGAAGGAAAAATATGCATGTTGTTTGTTGTAGTTGGATCTAACCATCCCCCAAACATCTCTGTGTTAAAGGCATACTCCCCAGTGTGGGGCCGTTGGGAACCCTTAGGGGTAAGGCCTGGTGGGAGGTCCTTGTGCGACTGCAAGTGTGTCTTTGAAAGGGACTGTGGGACCCCTTTCTATTCCTTTTCCTCTTTTGCTTCCTGCCTGTAAGGTGGATCGCTAGCTCTGACACACAGTCCCTCCTGTGACCCTCTGTCATCCCTGCAGGCCTGAATACAACACATCTAGATCATACAAAACCTATGAGCCCAAATAAACCGTGTTCTTTCTTTGTTTGTTTTTGGTACTGGGAATTGAACTTACAATACTTCTGATACAGTGCCCAGGAACATGGAAAAGGCTAGAAGATGCGTGTGGGTGTTGCATAATTATTTCTATACTTGTGGAATTTTCCTTGCCTGTTTAACCGGGGTGCAATTTTGATGTTGACACCTGAATGCCTCCATGTTGAGACTAGGAGGGCAAGGACACCTACTATGTGTAGCTGCTTTCAGACTCCTCTAAGTCCTGCCCACTTCTTACTCCTGCTTCCCCTGCCTGCTCTGAAGGAGCCCAGCACCTCCCGCGGCTTCCTCTGGTGCATATCCCGGGTTCTGGCCTCCTATGTTATGTTTATCAGTCATTTGTAGCCTTCCATTCATATTTCATCTTCCAGAATTTGCTGGAAAATCAAGAGGGAAGGTCTCCCCTCTTCCATGCACTCTTTGCCATTAGTTATTTTTCATTATCATTGCAATAGATTTTAGGTAGGAGGAGACTTAAGTGTAGGATTTCTGTTTGCCATCCCAAACTGAACACACTGTTACTTTTCAACTGAATCCAAGAATTTTTTTTCTTTTATAAAGACATCTCTAAACCTAAATTCTTGGCTATTTAATACGATCCTACAAAAAATCTCAGAAAAGCATACAGTTATCTAACCCTATAGGTAATGAAATAAAATAATAGCAAGAATAAAATAATAAAGGAAAGTTAAGTTTGCAGTGTTTTCCCTAAATAATACAGATTTATTGACTTCCATAAAGCAAAAAAAAAAAAAAAAAAAGGCCAAAA